ACTTCTGGATTGGTTGTTTTTTTTTGGTGATGCTGTCTGCAATTTCTCTGCAGTTAGCAATTTTTTGAAAATTCCGATAAAAGAACCTCAATCTGAAAGAAATATGTCGAAGTTTCCAGAGGTCTGCAGAAGTTGTTTGCATTGACTGGTGACTTTGGAATTCAAGCAAGATGTATGTTACTCATTGCCTGTAATGCAACCTATCACTCAAGGTTTTCACGAAGGCCTAGCTTTCATAATTGAAATGATTATTGATAAGGCAACTTGTGAATCTTTAATATTCTTTCTTAATTTATCCCTTAACTGTACCTGTCTGTCAGAGTGACAATGGGGATTTACGATCAATGAAAATTAGGCTTAGAGCATAGATATTAATTAGATTGCTTTGTAATTTATCTGTGTTCTGCTAAAATTACATTATTAGTAATTGTTAAGTTTTGTTTTGATGCCCAAGATCATTATTTATAAGGTCTGGTGATGAACAATTGAGCAAATTTGATGGTCACTGAATATTTTAACTTCACTATGTTGTGAATCCAGTGATAGTGAGGTTAGTTTGGCTTGGCTTGCTATCCCTATGAAGTGACATAATCCATTAGTCAGTCTTGGAGCTGAGCCAACGGTTCCTAATACTTTTGCAGCATTTATTTATCCATTTCACTGCAGATACTTCATGTATTCAGATAAAGTAACTCAATCTTCTTCTTTTATAATACATTTTCATGGACCTTGCTCTCTGCATCCTTGCCATTAAACATTCTGCCCTTGTCTCATTTATGATCTTTACCCGCATTGATTTTTCCCCCGCATATCCTCAAATTTATCTTTGATATCCAAACCTTTCTTCACCTGAACCTTCAGCTACATGATTCGCTTAAAGCCACTTTCCCCTACTCTGACGACACTTGCTAGGTTAGTCATTTATTGTAGACTCTCTCCCTTCCTGTTTCACTTTTACACTACTAACCCTATCACTACACTACATTATTGAGTTGTGCTTGCTCTTCAACTTTCTACACGCCTGTCACGGAAGAAGATTTCATACACACAGATTGATTGACATTAGACCTGCAAACAAAACGAAAAAGAAGAGTGACTTCACACCTTTGTGCATTGACAGGCATCTATCGTCTGAGCGGTGATGAGCAGAATTTATTCTGCAGTAGACAAGATTGCTCGCTTCACGCTCCCTGGATGCTATCACGCAATCAGTGCTATCTTCATCTCCACCAGGAGTCAAGTCTCTATTACCAGACACAGGAGATATGGAAACACATTTGAACAGTGTTTTGAGCATACAATCAGAACACAGGTCATGGAACACAAGTAATCGTCTATGTGAAAAACATTCCTATCTCTTTCCCAATCACTTCTTTTCCACCAAAAGGAGTTATAAATGATTCATAGAAGCTTGTGCTCTGGATCTCATTGTTTGATTTCAGGACAGTTTGATAGACTCATGCCAGTTTTCGTAACCAAGCTGACTGAATATTTTCTTGGTTAATCAGAGTGCAGTTCTTCTTGACTGTATGATTCTATATTTGATCAGTACAGTTTGGCGTTTCTTGGTTGGCATGGACATGGTGGGCCAAAGGGCTTGTTTGTATGGTGCATGACTGCAATTTTTTGCACTGAGAGTGGTCTGTGTGTGGAATGAACTGCCTGAGGCAGTGGTGATGCGAGTACAGTTACATCCGTTGAAAATTCATTTAAATAAGTACATGAATAAGAAATATTTGGAGGAATATGGGCCAAGCGCAAGCAGGTGGGGCTGGTTTAGTTTGGGGTTATGGTCAGCATGGACTGAAGGGTCTGTTTCTGTGCTGTATGACTCTATGACTCTCGATAATTTTTCTCCCCTAAAGAGAATAAATGATTCCTGATACAAGAGCAATGATTATAGGTTGGAATTTCACCCCACAAGATTGACAAGGGAAAATTAAGGGGTTATGCAAACTAATGCAAAGATGGATACGTTGATGAATTTGTAAGCTCTGTGTCTCCTGGCATTTATATGTGAAAATTAGGAGAGACAAATGAAATGGAGCAACCAACATTATCAGATTTGGACACAGTATAAATTTAAAACGGATCTTATTGTCTCATGGCAGTCAATCAAATGCCGCACCTATTTAAGATAGAAACTTAGGGATAAAAACTGTGGTAGGATGGAGGACGATTGGCCCATCATGTCTGTAGTAACCATGAAAGGAGGAACATGCTTAATCCCGCTTTACAACACTTGATCCATAGCCCTGTAGATTACAACATATCAAGTGCATGAACAAGTGTTTTTTTTTTTAACTGTGAGTGTTTCTACCTCAACCATCCTTTCAGGCAGCTAGTTCTAGATTCTCACTACCCTCTGGGTGAAAAACATTGCTCATCAAGTCCATCGAATGTTCCTACTTTCAATCTGTGTTGCCTGGCTATTGGCCTCTCTGCTTAGGAAATGGATCCTCCCCATCCACTTTATCTAGACCCCTTATAAATGTATACACCCAAATTAAATATGTTTTCAGTCTACTCCATTCCTAAAAAAGAAAATCCCGACCTATCCAACCTTTCCTCATAGCTAAATTTTTTTCCTGGAAATATCCTCATGAATCCCCTCTGTAGTGCCTCGTGTGTGGTCACATCCTTCCAGCAATGTTGATGGCAAGAACTGTATGCTGTCCTTCAGTTGTGGCCTCACTTGTGTTTGATACATTTCTAGCAGAACCTTTAATTCCGCAGCTCAGCTAATAAGGAAAGTTTCTTGCATTCCTTCTTATACAGCTAATGTACCTTCAGGCTGTGGACTGGTTCTTGAAGCTCTCTCTGTTTTTCTACACTACTCCATATCTGATCTTGCACTTCCACATATCATGTTTTTTTCCTCCTCAAATGCATCACCTCACACTTCTTCAAACTGAATTCCATTTGTCAATTTTCTGTCCACTCAGCTAGCCCAGACAGTGTGTCATTATCAATCACATAACCAGTCACACTCCAATTTAGATTGTGTCTCCGACATTTAAATCTAAACTGCTGGTTATGTTCCATAATATAAAGAACAGGACACAGCACTGAGCCCTGCAAAGCTTCAATGCAAAAAGTCTGAGCTAATTTTGGATCCAATTTATCACTTTCCCTTGATTCCCACAGGCTTATATTTTTCTGATCAGCCTGCCATCTGGGGTTTTATCAAAAGCCTTGCTAAATGAACTACTTTCAATGACTCTCCTTATTATCTTCTCAAAATGTTCATTCAAGTTAGATAGTCACAAGTTCCTTCAACAAATCCATGCTAACGGCCTTTGATTAATCTATGCTTGTCAAAATGATGATTTATACTGTCCCACAGAACACTTTCCAATAATTTGCACACCACTGAGGTTAGGCTGTCTGGCTGTTTTCACTCAATCTGTTTTAGAATAACAGAATCACAGAACTGTTATGATGTAGAAGGATGCCATTTGGCCCATTGTATCTGTCCATGAATGAAACTTCACACTTGTTTTATTTATTTTCAAATAGCAGAACAATTGGAGATCCATCACTAATAGTTTCAAAAAAAGATACTTACCATTGCAATTATTAGCCCTAAATATTTGTTGTCACCTTGGTTCACATATATTGCACAAATTCAGGTACTTGATGATATTGAACATGTTTAACCAGTCAGCGAAGGAGTTGACTGCCAAAACTAACTACTGTGCCAATTTTATCAATATTATTTTGATAATTACGTTGGGATATGGTCACCATTTATTTTTTCTTTTTTGTCAAATGTCTTTACTGAAGTATTCAAGTTTGTTGGAGTATGCTAAAGATTCTGTTTGGATTTATTTGCATTTGGTTGAATGAATATACCACAGTGCAAATTTAATGTCACTTTCTTTCAAAATGATGTTTTCTTTGAAAGTCAGAAGCCTCAGTTTCAGGGCTTTGTTTTTCCTCTTTCCACAATTATTTCTTCATTGTATTCACTGCTGAATGTGATAACATACAGACCAGCGGTCAGCCTGGTACATTCTGTAAGTGGCCAATATTCGTATACCCATTGCAAACGATTGTTGGCAATATGCTAAACCATACTGGTCATCACATCATTTTCAGTCCCGCCAACATCTGTGTTCAGGTATGTATATTGCAGTAAGGAACCACTGATAGCGATTGAAAAACAACTTTTATATGTGTTAAACCTCTCATGTAATTAAATTTCCTGATGTGCTTCAAAGAAGCATTATTTATCAAATGTGCCACCACGCTTCATAATTTAAGATTAAGATGGTGAAAAGTTTGGCCAAAGAGGTGGTTTTATGTCAAAACAGCAACTTAAAGGTCGAGAGGTTTATAACAAAGGAATTCCAGAGTTTGGGGCACGGGCGCCAATGGTGCGGCCACTAAAATCTCAAATGGTGTGCAAGCTGGAATTAAAATTCTGCAAATGCCTGATAGCACTGTGGAGCTAGGGGAGTTTGCAAAGGTGGTGTAAGGTAAGGCAATCAGGAATTTGAAAACATGGGGAATTTTGAGATGAGGTGTCACTTGCTTGGGAGACAGTCTAAGTTGAGACTCTTTTGCACTGTCAACCACTAAAGATGCACAACCATCTTTGTTCCATTATTGGTGCTGAATGTGAAATTTTGTTGGTCTGTACTGTTCAACTACACACTACCTGAGTAACTTTTGAAGTTTTAACTTATTTTGCACCAATGGCAAACTTGTGTTTGAGGACACCGATGCCAAATCCAAAAGCGTGGAATGAGAATGATGCATTGGCTGGTCAAGCTTTCTTTTGTCTTTGTTTTTCTTTCCTTTCTCTCTTTCTTTATGTTTCCACTCAGACTGCCCCCATCCTCCACCTTGCGCCTAACGTTGTTTGGGAAAACTGTGCATTAAGTATTTCTGGACCACCAATTGTGGTGATGTTTTAGTCAGTTTCAATGAAAACTTGCTGCACTAAACTTACTGACGTGCTAATGGGTTTCTGAATTTAATTTCCTTCTTTGCAGCTGGATCTGCCTTTTTGAATCCTGAAGGCGATTCTGGGACTGAAGCCGATAACGAACCTCAGCTAACATTTTACACTGACCCCTCTCGTAGCAGGCGCCGGAGCAGAGGTAAGAGAGAAAACCAGGTTTTGATATGAAAACCAACTTAGCTGAATGCGAAGGGATGTGAACCTTTTCTGAAAGACAGATCATATTGTGAATTGACCACATTTCTATTCACATGCAGTAAGCATAGAGACATCATATTTACAGAGAATCACTTTAATTTGAGGGCATAAGGAAAATAATAAATGTTAAGGACCAGGTATGATTGGATATCAAATAGAAGCAGATAACACAGATAAAACAGGAGACGCCATCAAGCCAGGGCCTGTTAGAACAAAGTCATTACAACAAAAATTAACCACAGCCATTGTAAAGGCTATTGTGCAGTTAGAGCCAAAATACACTTAGAAAAATATCAAACTGAAGATGGTCCAAGGTTACTCTCGGCACTAGGTAAATATCAAATATCAGAAAAGCCATGACAAACATGGGGAAAATATTAATTGCTTGTGGAACCACAGCCAGACATAGGAAACTACTGCATACTAACTAGAGTTGGTACAAGTATTAAATGCCAGCAGGATCATAACTAGACATGGAGCAGCCTCTCAAAGTTTCTATGAAGGGGAAACATTGAACAGCAGAATCTGAATAAAATTCTTATTATCATAAATACTTTACATACCTATTGCACACCATGTTTTTTATTTTAATTTCATGGCCATGACTTTCATAGTCATGTCTCAATGATACTGAGAGTACATAATGGTTTCTTTTGTGATGATATCAGAGTTGTTGTACATTCTATCTTTTAATTCAGATATTCAACAGTGGAGGATAGGACGCTGGAGCCTAATCTTTATTTATGTATGTGCTTTTAAGTGCAGAAACACGGGTTGCAAGCTCCATCCAACAATATTGCTTTCATCCTGCTCCAGTAACCAAATATCTGAGCAAAGGTGTATCTCCAACTGATGTCTTTCACATGGGTGCAATGAAACTGTCATTTGACGTACAATTAATAATCTTATATCAAAAATAACATAAAACAACAAAGCAGAGGAAGAAGGTAAAGGTAATTAGCTGAAAGAGCTAACTTCAGTTGGATAAAATTGGAATGAGCCCAGATAGAGCTAATAAATAAAGCACTACGCAAACACAGGAAACATCTATCTACACGTTCTACAACATATTGGCAAGACATATTCACACAAGATGTAATGATAGTGCAGCAAAAACTGGAGTTCCTTCACTATGAAGAAAAATAAACATTCATAGTAGACATTTAAAAAATCTGGCAAATCCAAGAATTTAAAAACTGAACATGATACAAAATGAATGACGGAAAGCAAAAATTAGAATGGTTATATTAGTTGTGAAAGTGGTCATAGACATAGAGGACCAAAGGTTGCTCTGTCTTTAGAGAGGTGACAGGTACTGAGTTTAACCTGAGGGTCACCACACCTCACATGACAATAAGAGGCAGGTCTTTCATCCTGACCTCAACCACTACAGGAGTTGAACTTGTGCTATTGATGTCCTGTCAACTGATCTAACTGAGGGTTAATAACATCTTTGTGGTAATGAAAATTATTTTACGAGCACACAAGGTGTCAAAGAATAATTAAAACAAGTACATGGCTGATTAGAGACACAAAATGATTTTTATGGGTGAAAGAGTCGTTGTGGAATTAAATTATCGTTGTACGTCGGCTTTCACATAGGAGTATTGTCGAGGCAACGGAAGTGTAGAAGCGAAGGAAGTGCAGCAATATAGTAGGATTACTATAATTAAAGAACTAGCACTGAAAACCTGGTGGAATTCCACGTGTAAAAAGCACAAAGTGTCTTAAATCACTCAGGAAAACCAGAAGTGAAATAGCAGGGACTATGTCCAGAGTCTTCGCTCTTGAGTCAGGAGAGTGGAGTCATAAAAAAACTGATTCCATAAACTCGGCTTGGGATACAGTGCCCGGGAACTGAGATGACTGAAGGTGTTATTGGCATTCTGGCCATGACAAAGGCTGCTGGGAGCAGAGGCAAGCTATGCAAAAGGCTAACCTCGGTGATCTGGCACTTTTAAAAGTGTAAGGAAACTAAAACAAAAAACAACCCTCATCCTTTAAACCACCTTATTGCCCCTACACATTCTGCTTGCCCCATCTTTACCAAGGCAGAACACTTCATATCGCCCCCAATCCAATTCCCAAAACCCTTCGTACTCCCTCTGACAACCTACAAATCCCACCTCCCATGGCCCTTGTATCCCTGTGCCAATCAATGCTCTTCAACCCCCTCCCATGGCCCTCTATGCCAACTTCCTGTCAATGTATGAGCGCACCACCCATCAGCACAGCCATTTAAAGCCTATTGCAAATTTAGTGCCGCCTTGTGCCACCACATGACACTCCTTCCCATCCCCAAAGGCCTATCTAACACTTCGTCCTACCTCACGCATCACACCAACTGCACAGAGTCATGGAGATGTACAGCATGGAAACAGACTCTTCGGTCCACCTCGTCCATGTCGAATTGATGACCCAAATAAATCTCGTCTCATTTGCCAGCATTTGGCCCATATCGCTCTAAACCCTTCCTATTCATATACCATCCAGGTGTCTTTTAAATGTTGTAATTGTGCTATTCCATACACACACCACTCTCTGCATGAAAAAGTTGCTCCTTATGTCGCTTTTAAATCTTTCCCTTCTCACTCTAAACCTATGTCCTCTGGTTTTGGCCTCTCCCACCCACTAACTTTATCCATGCCCCTCATGATTTTATAAACCTCTGTAAGGTCACCCTCAGCCTCCAACACTCCAGGGAAAATATCCCAGCCTATTCAGCTGCTCCCTGTGGCTCAAACCCTGGAAGCATCCTTGTAAATTTTTTCTGAACCCTTTCAAGTTTCACAACATCCTTCTGATAGCAGGGAGACCAGAACTGCATGCAGTATTACAAAAGTGGCCTAACCAATGTCTTGTACAGCCGCAACATGACCTTCCAACTCCTATACTCAATGCACTGGACAATAAAGGCAAGCATACCAAACACCTTCTTCACAATCCTATATACCTGTAGCATCACTTTCAAGAAACTATGAAGGTGCACCCCAAGGTCTCTTTGATCAGCAACACTCTCCAGACCTTACCATTAAGTGTATCAGTCCTGCCCTGATTTGCCTTTCCAAAATGCAACACCTCACATTTATCTAAATTAAACTCCATCTCAAAGTTTTTGAGACGATTTGTAGCTGGGGTTGTGGATAAGGTTGTAGACTTGCTCGCTGAGCTGGTGAATCTGATTGCAGACATTTCATCACCCTGCTCGGTATCGCTGATGATGTTACCTAGCAGGGTGATGAAACATGTTCAGTCAAACACACTGGCTCGGCGAGCAAGTCTACAACCTTAAATTCCTTCTGCCACTCCTCGGTCCATTGGCCCATCTGATCAAGATCCTGTTGTACCCTGAGGTAGTCTTCTTTGCTTTCCACTTCACTTTACTCTTAAATCCTCCAAGTCAACTTAATCTGCATCTACCAGACCTGTTCTAGACGCACTCTGAGATGAAACAAAATACTAAGTATTGATGACCACTAATTTTTCATCCAGAAGTCCTCTTACACGCAACTGAAAGTTTGTTTCTTTCTGTCTTCATCACCAAATCATCTGTGGGAGACCTCACTCTTTTAAAAAGAAAACACTCTAATCCATTATCAAAAACATTTAACTTCATTCAATTACTCAGCTGTTGTAAAAGTAAACATTCATTCAAAACTTAATCCCTTACAATAAGCAAATCATTGCTTTTGCCCCCACTTCAAAGACTTGGACCTATAAATAAGATTGTAGTGACAGATCCCCCTATTGTGATAAGATGTAAAATCAATCATGCAGCACATATTCTGTGCTGATAGCTATCAAGCTTATGTTAACATTCAGAATCAGTTAGCAGGCACTGATTTCTTTCCAGCTGTTGACTTTTTCAGTTTAAAAGGCATGAGTTTTCAGTACCTTGAAAGAGTGATAATTCCAATTAGACTCGAAATGCCTTGATGACGCAACTGTTTCAATAAGGTTGACAGTTCCAACTCATTTACATTTTTTAGAGCACAGTCATGTCTGCTTTTTACAATTCCACAGAGCACTACACCTCTCCCAAGTGATGCTTTCCCATCTCAGTATCCAAAATGTTTCCTACCTTTGCAAGTTGAGACCTTCTCCTGTAAAGTGTCGAGCCCACAAGTCATGTTTGGACATTCCATTAACTTGAATGCATCTAGGGTTGTGCTTTTGAGAGCAGGACCTTCGTGCATTTTGCCTCAAGTTGAGACTTTCTTTGTCATTAGAAAAATTCAGGTTAAGATTCACAAATTTTCAAATACTCATATATAGCAGAATCATGCAAAAATATTGGATTGTTGCCAATGTAACACACCTGTTGTAAGACTCAGAAAGGATGAGCGTTCAGCCCAGCATTGGTAGTATATTGGTTACAAATGGGTCTTGATATAGGGTATAACTGATATCCACCATAAAGTTAATTAAGCACAGGAAGGACAAAATTGTCAGACATTTCTAATAGACTTCCCTGAAGAAATTTTTGGAAAGATCCCTTTAGTCCATTTTAAGGTTGTCTTGATGAAGGAAATGTAATTCATGTTGTAATGCGGATTCTGAAAACACACTTACCACATTGTCACACTAGTAGCTTCATAGAATGTATCTTCAAACAAAATTAAATCATAGAATTAGGCTCGCTTGGAAGCAGAAAGCACAGAATCTCCTTTCTACAGTCAATAAGCAATCTGTTGTATTGTGGACATTACCCAATCCATTTAATTTCTACAAAGATTTTCTTTCAAATTCTTAAAGTCAAATCAGATAGACTGCAGTCATATCTATTGGACATTATCTCTGTATATCATTCTTCCTTACCCAGTTACCTTTGTACGTAACATTTCACGGCCATGCCATTTAAAATATCATGTTCCACACACGGCATTTAATTATTTGAACTTCTGCTTATAATTGCTCAATCTGATTCTGACAATGATTGTCATTGATGGCTCCGGAAATCAAGAACTGTGAGTTAGGACGAAAATACATGAAGCAAATTGTTTTGTCTAGTGAAACTAAGTTTCAGCTTTGAGAACTCATCTTCATTGTTTTTGAGTTTTTTTTCCTTTATTCATTCACGGGATGAGGGCATCGCTGGCTAGGCAGCATTAATTACCCATCCCTAATTGCCCAGAGTGCCGTTGAGAGTCAACCACATTGCTGTGGGTCTGGAGTCACATGTAGGCCAGACCAGGGAAGGATGGCAGTTTCCTTCCCTAAAGGACATTAGTGAACCAGATGGGTTTTTCCAACAATTGACAATGAATTCACAGTCATCATTAGATTCTTAATTCCAATCTTATTTTGTTGAATTCAAATTCCACCATCTACCATGGCGGGGTTTGAACCCGGGTCCCCAGAACATTATCTGAGCCTCTGGATTAACAGTCCAGCAATAGTGCCACTAGGCCATCACCTCCCCCTTTTTTTAAATGA